CATTCATGATGAACGAGGCCAAAGCTGCCACCCCACCACCACCACCGCCCGACTCCATTTTGAATCTCCCAAAAGTAAAGTCTTCTCAATTCCCTCACAAAAAAATAGCCAAAACCTGAAATGAGATTCCTAGTTTAGCAAATCCTTGGTCTTCTTAAGTCCAGGTCAGATCTTTAGTATGGTCCTAAACTTCATCCACCATCTCGCCCTCTCTGAGAAGGCACAGTGTACCTTCTTGGCCCTGGCCCCTGCTGCAAACCTACACCAGACAAGCAGACATTGGAGGGGAAGGGAGCATTTAGGCACAGCTGGCCCCTTCTGAGGGATATATATAGACGGGCAGTCAGTGTCCATTCTTGGGGGTGCGGAGGCAGGTGGAGGAGGGGATGGGCGGCCTTGGGGTGCAGCAGATGAAGAAAGAGAATGACTAAAGTTCTGTAAGAGAAATTCAGCTGCTTATACAACACCACAGATAAGGACACATAAAATGATATTGAAATATGCCAGGCTTTTTTCCTAGTAGATTTACTCCACAAAACAGCAGATGAGCGTTACCCATAGTGAATTTTCTCAAGAAAAAAGCTGTACAAAGAAAGTTGGCAACATTCTTTATATATTTAACATTTTAGTGCATTTTCACATAAGCAACAATATTTCAGCTGTAAAACAGCTGCAAGTTGTTTGGATACATACTGGACAATTATTATAGCAGCAAATACGATAGTCAAGCAAAGACCTTCAAATTCCTACACATTTTGAGGTGCAAAATCAATATTTCTGGATGTCTGTAAATCAGAAAATCCAACAAAAGTGTCAAGCATATGCTTATGAAGCTTATGATATACTATTCAACAGTGCTGATCACTTAAAGCCACTTATTCCTTCACTATTATAAATGTATACATTTATTTATAATTATTCATTATAATCTGACATTTAAATGTGCCATCCTGAACGGTATTATCAGCTTGCAAACAAATAAACTAGGAATCATTCAATACATTTTGTGGTAATTCAAAGTGAAACTACAACAGTGCAATGACATTTTACACATTCATAAGCGCATTTATATTATATATACCTGTCCACATCAGTACTCCCAGATCACACGGCACACTTCCATGTAATCTCATCCTTTGCAATGCTATTTCAAAGCAAAATAGTGACAGGACCGATATATTCAAGTTATTGTGTGAGAAATGTAAAGGTGACCGTGGGTGTGAGACCAACTGGAGCTGGCTGATTCTCTTCATTTATATCTATGTTAACAGCAAGCAACTAAACAAGTTGCTTTATGTTTTCACAGTTTCAGTTTGAAAGCTGGAATCAACCAAGTCAGTCTTGGTTAGATTATAATACTAATGATAATGCAGGCCCACTGATAAAACATATTGTCATAAAAGCTGAAACTATAAGACCACCATGCATGTGGTCTCAGCCAGTGGTGCCTGTTAGACTTGTTCCCAGCTGGAGTCCATCTGAGGGCTTAGCTGAGCAGCTTGTGGCGGTCAAACACAGTCTTGCGCTGCTCCTGGACCTGTTTCTTCCAGCGCTGCTGAGCCCCCTCTACCCTCTCCAGCACAGTGTTCCCATGACCTTGTGAACCATCCACACGGGGCTTCACATCCTGTAGGGAGAGACAAAGCACAAAATTAATACCTAAACCCAACAAAAATAGAAAAATATTCCTTAACTTAAGCAAATGATCTACAAAAGTGATTTAAAAAAATATGATTCTTTGTCCCAAGTCTGCTATCAGACATGTTCACAAGCCTAAGAAAACAAATTCTACCCTTTCAGTAATATAAGACAATAATAAGAAATATTTCTTGAGCAGCAAATCAGAATGTCATGATTTCTGAAGGATCATGTGACACTGAAAATTCAGCTTTGCCATCACACGAATATATTACATTTTAAAATATATTGAAACAGAAAACAGTGATTTTAAATTGTAATAATACTTCATAATATTACTGTTTTTACTTTATTTTTGAACAAATACATGTAGCCTTGGCGAACATACTTGTTTCAAAAAACCTTAAAAATGTTAATTATTCCAATCTTTCTCTATATATATAAATGTATTATTTCTTGAACATTAAGTCATAAACAGTAGTATTAAAGTATGTTATGTTTTACTTGAATTAAAAGATTTTAAACTTAATACCATTTACTTAACTAATAAAATAGCAATTTTACAAGTTGTCAAGTGAGGGACCATTTAACTAAAAAAATTAATAACTTACTTTTTTTGTTATGTATATTTTTTGGTGTGTTTTTTTTCTTCAATTTTTCACGATAGAACAGTGGAGATATGACAGGAAGCAAGTGGGAGAGAGAGAGGGGGATGGGATCGGGAATGGTCAACAAGATGGGATTTGAACTAGGGACACCTGAAGCGCAACTGTGGCATATGTCGACACGCTGTCCACAAGGCTATCGGCGCCAACATGTATACGCATTTAATAGAAAATGCATCTTCATTTTTGTGGGTGTGAGAACGAGAAAATATTTTCTCTTATTAGACCCAAAGACTTGTTTTGCTCAAAAATCTCTCATTTAGGGGTGTGCGATATATATCGTCTGCGATAATATCGTAATTGTTGGTTTAACGATGTGCGATTTGACATGATCGAGTATTTTGCAAAAACCATTCAAAACATCCCTACAAGAGCGCACGCGTACATTACGTGAAGTCTAGACTAGTGCGTGCGCATTTAGTGTGTTTTCTTTCACTGCATGATTCAGTCTATTAAAATGCATTTAGAATGATCACAAAGAATACAGCCACAGCTCTGTTTTGTGTCTCTGAGCAACATGACGGTGTTTCGTTATTGAACGAATCAACCGTTTAAATGATTCGGTTCAATCGCTATGACTCGCTTATTAACAGTGATTTGCTGCCACCTGCTGGCGGTTTTAATTTCACATTTCGGCTTTTTCTCTCTTTTCTTTTTTTTTTTTTTTGATTTTTTTCATGTTTTAAATCATTTCAAAAATCATTATTCAACGTTTTATGTTTAATATATCAAAACATTATTTATGCATTTGTAATTTCAGGTTAAATGCATTCATGTCTTGCATTTAACAGTGTGTAAATACATCTAAATGCCACTTCAGATGCAGCTTCTGTGTTTCCTCTGCATTGCTATCGAGATATAATTTTTTGTCAATATCGCACACCCCTACTCTCATTTAAGTTCAAGTCAAGTCAATGCAAATTCTATGCTGAGTCAAAGTCTATACTGTTTCCATCTCTGTAAAATACAAACCCCAATGTGCACAAACCTCAGAATCCTCCTCGTTCTGCAGTGGCATGGTGTACGGATCATGTTTGCGGATTAGAGGATCAACTAGAAGTAGAAACAGCATGTACAGCAGAAGAGCTCCAACCACTGACAAGTAGATTATAATGGTCACCTGGGAAATACATAAAAAATATTAATACTCCTCAATTTAGCTTAAAGTGGACAACTAGATTATGAAGGCATAAAAGCAGATTATAATAAACATTTTTAATTCAAAGTAGGATTTATTGATTTCTGGAAGTCGCACAATACCTTAATGGTGTTGCTGCTTCGTTCTTCATACTTGCACTCACAGAGCAGACAGTAGGCCTCCACATCATGGCCAGGCACTGGCATGGGCTCCACCACATGCAGACAGTTGCTACAACCCAATACATTAACAATAAATTCTGAGACAGCTGAAAATAGTGTAAGAATTTATTGATCTATATATAATAACCTCTACAGACAACAAAGCCCTGTTTGGACAGTTCTTTGTCAATACAGTAGTCTGTCTCACCAGTCTTTCTGGGACACATTCTTTTTGTAGATATGTCCACTGATGTTTCTGTAGGGTGGCCAGATGCACTTGCAACGCACATCTTCATAACTCTGTGTAGGCAACATTTTAAGAAAGTTAAATTTAAAGGACATCTTTTTACATAAGTGGGACACATTTGGTAAAATTCGGAGAGCATAGATGTGGAGAGCATAGATGTAATGGATGTGTCAGGGAGAAACTGTACCTTATCTGCATATGCGAGTGAAATCACATCTATAAGAACAAGAAACACCAGAAGAACAGCTGCTATCCGGAGATTTTGAGCAATGCTGGACGACATGATGCCTGCACATAAACATCATTAAATTCAACATAAGGGAAGGTCATAATTGAATTGAAATGGGTCAACCGGTACTTTTTGATTCAAAAAATAAAAGCAAATAAAAGCAAATTAAAGCAAACAAGACTAGTCATCGGTTAAAATGCTTATTCGTGTAGGACCTAAACAAAACGTTCAAAATCAATTCTGTGTACTCAGTGGCTTATGCAGTAACGTTAGTTACGTTACATGAAGCTGACAAACCGGTCTCTCAATCCCGCAGTTTAAGCCTTTTCTCCTCTCTGTTGTGCATTTTGAGAGAGAGAGAGAAAATAAATCTGAAAAGTCAAAAGTTTAAGCTAAATGTTACATGCAAATGTTAAATTAAATGCATATACGCACCTATAATATTTATAAACGCCCATCAAACATATGTTGACTTTCTCCGGAGGTTCTGGAGTATTTATGTGTCACGTGACGATGGATAAACTCTAGCCCCGCCTTCACAAACGCTGAAAGGCAAATTAAAAGCGTTTTTTTTTTTTTTTATAGAATAACACAATTTATAATCTGTAATGCCCCCCGATATTATAAAAATAAAGCCTCGGGTATAAAAGTAATAACATATCGACTTTCAGTATCGACTACATACAAATAAGTCTCTTCAGATTTTGTGAACGATCACAAAGGAAATAAATGAGCAAAAGGGGAGCTAAAATAACTGAGAATGCATGTAACATATGTTAAGTCCAGGTATAAAGAGTTTTTAAAAAAGCATGAATATGATTTCCTCCAAAATCTTTCATACGTTTTGTTCAAACTTCCCATAAACAGTTGGCGATTTAAATACTCTGTCTCTATTGGTTGACCAAACCGTCACTCAGACTGTGCCACGTCCAATCAGCTAGCGGCCTTTCAATCCTATAATTTTGGCGGCGGTCGGAAGATGGCGGAAAATTTGAAAGGTAAGAATATATCGTGTTAATCGTTCAGAAACAACGGTTTACACGCTATATGTCTGATGTATTACACGAGTTGTTAGTTAAGTGACGTCTTATCAAAGATCCCCCAGAATCAAACACTTCGTTTTGGAAGAATCTTTGCTGCAAGTTGTTGATACAAATTCACATTAGGTCGATGTTATGGCTACCGCGCGCTCATGTAATACATTCAAACAAGCTCATTGTGAACTCATCTGTTTCTCTTGCATCAACTTCCTTGTAAAGCTGTACAGCGTAACATACGGTGCAAAGATGTGCACACTCTGTTAGTTAGAGTAATATTCAGTGTTTAGCTTTTAGCGTAACTTTTACATTCTCTTGAGGAATATGATTTACTCAACATGTTTGATCACTGGAAACTTTATCATAAAGCACATGCTTAAAATTCTCCCGCAAAATGTTAATCTAATGCCTACGTCGTTGATTACCTACTTCGTTTAGGTTTACTGAATCTCTTGTCCATTTTGCTTATGACGATTAGTCTTTAGACAATTTATTAAATGGCCCATAGGTTAGTGATAATACATGGGAGTTTTTCTGTAAGGGTATTTATCTCAAACTGCCAAAATTAGCAAGTTATCTGTACAATATGTTAATGATTTTTTTTTAGTGTGTTACTGTGCTGTTGCATTTGGTTCAAGCTTTTTAGTGCCAAAGACCCCCCAACTATGATGATCCCCTTGTCAGGTAGCCCCTTCCTACAATATAAAAGCAGTTATATATTTTCA